GTACATGGATTAACATGTCCTTGCTTCCTTAAAAAGTACTTAGGGTTTGAGCAAATTTGATCAGAAATCAGTGTTATAAAAGCCATTTTTTATGTTAGGGTATGACCTCTGGTATAAGAGACATCCAATTTATTACTTTATAATGTTTGGTAATCTAGAACATGGTAATCCAAACCCCGGTCTGGAAACCGGAGCAGGTCTGTAGGTCTTTTGGTACTGGGCCACAGTGGGACTCAGTGAAAACATTACAGCAGTGGTACACTTATGTCCAATGTGCCTTATTCCATTGGAAGGCCATCACGCCCCTCCTGGCATCTCACCACCCCACTATTTGACAAGTACTGCTTTAGTGCATCAGTTAAATCTTAAATTACCTATAATATTATTAAGTAAGTACTTTATGAGATAAGTAATATTGATATTTTAATCCCATGGAATCGATAATCCTGTCACTATTAAACAGTAGACCCATCTTTCTTGAAGCCATAATTCTGTTACTGATGAAGGTATCCAATTGGAGTTTTTGGGAGTTTTTTCTAGGCCAGTGCAGTTGTCTCCTTCCAAATCAGGAGATCTATTGTTTGTTTGTTTTTATTTTAATTATAATCTTCATCCTTTGTTAACAGTTTTCACCCTACTGTGTTTCCCTCAACAGGTGAATGGTACCACTGTAAATCTGCCAATCACACTGTCTTCTAGTGTTTCTGTGCATAAGTCAGGAAAGTACTACACTGTGTCCATGACCTTTGGCGTGACAGTCCGCTATGATGGAAACCACTACATGGACATCAAAATAATCAAAGAGTAAGTTAGCTTTACACACAACTCCCACTGTCAAATTATGTGACTGCTCATTGTTTTGTCTTTTGCAGTTATCAGAGCTTGCTGTGTGGCCTGTGTGGAGACTATGATAAAGATACCAAGGATGACTTCCGTAAGCCAGATGGATCACTTACTAGCAATGCTAACGAGTTTGGGAACAGCTGGAACACAGATCCTGAGTGAGTGATTACATTATACAATCACTAAGAATACTGTAGTTTAATTAGGCACAGTTTAATAGTGGAAGCCCGTCCAGATGCCAAGGTGGATTTCTACCAGTGGTCTCATCCCAGATTTCTGTTCCTGTTGGTTTGATCAGGCCTATTTATTAATTAGGGTGATGATTAAATTTTTCTGTTTCAGCAGCATTTTTGCACCATTAATGTAATGATGTAATACCTCGAAAACACCTTAAATCAGGAGTTTTCACAGAGTTTGGCTTCAGAGCTTCTATTCGAAAGACTATACTAAAAGAATCTATAGACATTGAAAATGCAATATGTATATTAACTATATTAAACAGTTTATACTTTACGTATGTGTGGTTCCATAGTGCAGCAGTTAGCATGCCTTCCTCTAAAGCAGAGAGTTTCCCTGAGGGACCACATATCCCTAATGGCGCCTCTCGTGTGGGAGTTGCAGGTTGCAAACACTCACATCATAAATTTCCCCATAGTGGGACGTATAAGGGAGTCTATTATTATTATACATTACATGTTGGTATACTGAATAAATGCATGTATCTGGTCTACCTAATCAAGCCAACTCTTTAAAATGTCCAGATTCATTTATGGAATATGTGGTACTTTCAAACAAATCTGACTGATCGTCCTCCAAACAGGTGTAATAAAAGTCCCAACACAACCGTCCCTGGATGCAGTGAACAAGAAGAGGACCTGTATGAGAGCAATAGCTACTGTGGCATCCTGCTGGACAAAAATGGACCATTTGCTGTGTGCCACCCCAAAGTCAACCCCAATGTAACTACACAAAACACACAAAAAATTAAATAACAATAATAAATAAAAATAATATTCTAGTTTTAAGTTTACTCAAAATCCCTCAGTGTGAAACCTTGGCCTGTTTAGTTGCACACTGCTGTTATACTCACATCGATTGAAGAAAGACACACACAAAGATGTTCAGAAACCCTGAGTGGCTTTCATTCTTTTAGTTTCTATAGTTGTTTTCCCTGTCACTGTAGCGATAGATAGAATAATTAAGATTCTTAAGAGTAAATAAATATTGTTTTCAGAAAAATTAAGTGAAATTGGATAATTTTCAACAATAGTTTAACAACAACATTTTTTCTGGCAGAATTTCTTCAAGGACTGTGTCTTTGACCTGTGTGAGGTGGATGGAGCCCAGCGCATTCTGTGTGAAGCCATTGAAGCCTATGTAAATGAATGCCAGGACCGCGGCGTCAACATCGAACCCTGGAGAAATACAACCTTCTGTCGTAAGTGTTGTGCAATGTGATAAAAGAACCGATCAATTTGAGAATTTCAGCAGTCAGATATGTGTTGTATTATTTTATAAGATAGAGGCTCGCTCTGGACCAAAATGTAACACACAAACAGACTAAAGCAGGAAGTAGTCTTTAAAGGGGCATTCATACCAAACACGTGACACTACATGCACAATAAATGCAAATGGTGCAATAACATGCATCTGACACAATGCGAATTAAGCACCTGGAGTTGGTGCATGTTGAGTTTTAGCACCATATGTTGGAATAATTAAACAAGAGTTTCTTAATAGATTTACAGTAAAGGAGATGGCGTCGTTAGCACAAATCACCGTAGGTGGAGGTGTACACGTGGAGGTGTAAACCGAGGTCCCACTGTGTATAAAAAGTTTATAACCTATGACACCCTCTGAGTCTTAGTTTTACTTGCCCCGACTTACTTCTGAACTTGTCCTTTTTCTTCAAGCTTTTCACTGCGAAGCCAACAGCCACTATGAGCCCTGTGCTAACCCATGTCAGGAGACATGCAGTGGAAAACCTTCAAACTGTGGTGGACCCTGCTCTGAGGGATGTGTGTGTGACCCTGGGTATGTCCTGAGTGCAGGCAAATGTGTCAGTAACAGCTCCTGTGGCTGCAACTACAATGGCCAGTACTATGAGGTATGTGGAAAATGAATGAGGGATTACCTCCCTTAACTACTTTAACTACTTTACCAACTTAAGTTACCAACTTTGACTACTTAATGTACTTTAACTACTTTACCAACGACTGCTTTAAATACATTAACTTCTTTATTTAATGTAACTTCATTACCTACCTCACCTACTTTACACTTGTTACCTGCTATGACTACTTTACCTACTTGAATCACTTTGGATCCTTTAACATATTTTAATTGTCTTACCAGTATTAATATTACTTTTGTTTTTAATTAAAAAAGATATCTGTTTCCGGTTATACTTTAAACAATTTTGGTCTAGTGGTATGCAATTTGCGTACCTTGGCATATTCCTAATCATGGTGTGATTAGGAACGCCATAAATAAAAGCATGTTAATTGTTAATAAAAAAATGATACACTGCTGTAGAACAGTGGTCCCCAACACCCAGACTGGCACCGGTCTGTGGGTCAATTAGTACCAGGCCAACCCAGACTGGCACCGGTCTGTGGGTCAGTACCAGGTACCAGGCCACACAGAAAGAAGGCACAACTTACATTATATCTGTTTTATTTATTATATGATTCTAAATTACGTTTTATTTTTGAAAAATTACCGGATTCTCTCCGCTGTCTATGACTCATACTTGATGCCTCATGTGATGCGCTGTCTATGACTCATACTTGATGCCTCGGTCACATGTCTTATCTACATCAGCTACCTTCTTAAAAGATCTGCTGGTAACACATGATACATTACTGCTAAGTTGAAACCCCCAAGCTAGCAAAATGAACAAAAAACAAATACTTTTCTTAGCCCAGGGTAAAAGAGTGTGTGAGGAACCGGAGGAAGAACTTACGTCTCCACAGAAGAAAAAGCTGCATTTAACAGACAATTCTAGGAATCCAACTGAAAATATGGATTTATTGGAATAATTATACATATATAAAAACGCATTGTTTTACAGAAAGGAGAGGAGTTTTTGGTGGAGAACTGTGAGCTGAAGTGTAAGTGTAACGCTCCCTTTGTCACTTGTTCGGCCCATGACTGTCCTGCAATGCACGAGTGTAAACTCCAAAATGGGGAACTGGGCTGCTATCCTACTGGTAAGTTTTTATCTACACGTGTGTATATGCATGTCTTGTTTAGAAAGGCTAAAGGGATACATGCTATAACACCTGTAGCAGGGTTTATGTGTGATGCTCAAGACTTGTTTCCTTGTTTCTTCACATAGGATCTGAAGACTGTGTGATCTCCGGGGATCCTCACTACAACACATTTGACAAAAAATTCTTCAGCTTCATGGGAACATGTACCTACACTCTGGCCAGAAACTGCAATAACACCACAGGTAAAACATGCTTTCCAATGATGCCTGAGGAGCTTTGTGTCTCCATTTCAACAAAATGTCATCACTAATGTACCAAGGTTTCTAGCCAGGAACATCAATTGTTAGGGTTTGAAAACAAATCTGTGGCTAACAATGTCTGGCTTTCATGTGTTAAAATGTTTTGATAAGAGTAAAACTACTGGTAAATTAAATATTTTATTTTAAAATATTTTTTTACAGTTTCTAGTTTAAAAAAAACCCCAACATAAATCAAAGAATTATGTGGGTAAAATTGTGATTAAATTAAGTTCTCTTCAATTTAATTTACAACTGTTATGTACAGGGCCTTGGTTTTCTGTGGAGGGGAAGAATGAGGAGAGAGGGCAGCCAGGGTTGTCATACTTGAAGAAACTTTACGTCACTGTGGATGGAATCACTGTGACACTGATGAAGTCCAGAAGAACATTGGTCAGTATGGACAACATTATACTGTGATACACACAGGCACATCGTAGGACATGATTCTGTTTTTCAAATGAATTATCGATTACACCAGAGTTCTTAATCGTGTACATTGTTTTTATGACCCGTTTATCTTCAGAGTCTTTTTGAAGTCGTGATAAGAGACTTTAGCTATGATTAATGGTAAACTTTTTTTTTCTCTTACCAGGTGATGGGCGACGAGTGGCCCTCCCTCACTCCCCCTCTCCTCTTATGTCCATCAGTCTTGCTGGTCAGTACATCACTGTGCAGACTACCTTTGGCCTTCAGGTTCGCTGGGACGGAAACCACTATGCAAAGATCACAGTCCCCAGGTCAGTTTATAAAAAAAATGCTGCTTAAAAAAATAATTTAAATGATTTCTATTAAGAGGTGTGGTGAAGTTACAGTACAACATAACTAATAATTGTAAGTTAGCTTGAAAGACTCTGTTTATATTTAATTCCTATGCCACCGTCTTCTTTCCTCAGTTCCTACCATGACCAGATGTGTGGCCTATGTGGCGACTACGATGGGAACCCAAACAATGACTTTACCAAACCTGACGGCACCCAAGTTGGGAATGTGAACGACTTTGGAAACAGCTGGCAGACAGCAGATGATGAAGATGAGGAGTGAGTAAACACAATTGTCTGAAAAGTGAACGTCACTTCAGGAACTGTTTTGGCATATTATTTAAAAAAACATCTAAAGAAAACTCTGCCCACTGTTTGAGGCTGCAAAAGGTCAACAGGTATAAACCATAAGGCTTGTTGGTTTTAAACAAGCCAAATTAAATGTTCAACTTCACCAGCTTTAGGTGCTTTTTCACCATAAAGTACTAGATGAAACGAAACACACACAATAGCTGCCTGTAATTTCATTGGATTTGAGTTCTAAAACCTTAATGTATATAGGCCAAAAAACTGTGGAAAAAATTGTTTTATACCTTTTAAAAGACTAGAGCACATGAAAGAGTGAAGTGAAAATATTTTATAGATAACATTCTGAGCATGTTTAATTTCATGGGTTCTTGCTGATTTGGCAACAGTATGATTTTCTTTTAATAAATAAACATGCTCTGAAGAAGCAATTATTTGCTTTTTTTTCACCCTGATCAGGTGTAAACAAGGTACCAACCCTGACCCAGAATGTGACCCGAATCTTGAAGCTGAGGTGGTGAAACCAGAAAAATGTGGAAAGATCACAGACCCTGCTGGACCCTTCAGGTTAGTCACCTTCTACTAAATACTGGGGATGGCTATCTATCTATATAACTCTCTCTCTATCTATCTATCTATCTATCATCTATCTCTCTATCTATCTATCTATCTATCTATC